TTTCTGTATCGCCAGTCAACAGAAAAAAAAATCAGATTCATTATGATTCTTACATATTTCCTCTCTTTGGGGATTGTCAAACACAACTCGAGGGTGGGGGGGTCTCCTTCCTCAATCCGACCCGCTTGCTCACGAGTAAAGTGCATTTTGCAAAAGCGGCGGCGAAGGGGTCCGTCACACGACGTCTTTAAAGTGCTTTTCCGCACCCATAGCGGATGAAATGAAGACGAACCTTCGGGGTCCTTTGCCGCAACCCCGTTCTGAAAACGGGGTTCGCCGATTCCGTGGGGGACAGGATCCCGGAGGATAAACCCCTTTCCCCTGCGGCCGACATATTTCGGCGGTGTTCGGGAACGACATCGACCCGCAGCCCCTCTTGCCTGGACATCACAGCGGAAAAAACCCCAAAACCCTTTTATATAAAAACACCACGCTTTAACCTCCCAGGTCCTCTCTAACTGGGCGGAAAATACATCTCTAGGGTTGCCGTAGCTCAAGAAGTAAAAAAACAATTCCGGACATGTCATGCTTCCGTAGGAGAAGTCACCCAAAACTTTCTGGTTCTAAACTAGGATGTTTTGCCGGTTTTTCTGAAGTTCGACCCAGGATGCTATTTCCGCAATTTAAAATCCTGGACGTGTCCTGGAAATCCGGACCTATGGGAAACGAAGCCCCAGGGAACGACTACTGTTTCCTTTTGAAAGGCACGGCCCAAAAACGGTGGAAATGGTAATATAGTGGAACCTTGGTTCTCAAACGCCTTGCTGCTCAAACAACTTGGAACCCAAACGCTGCAAACCCGGACGGAAGCGTTCCGGATTGCGAACTTTTTCCAGAAGCCGAACGTGCTCCGTTTAGAGCGCCACACTTCCGTTTTGAGTGTTACACTGAGTTTTGTCATTTTTTGCTATTTATTTTGTGTTTTTCCTTTTGCGGCTCTTTTTGCTTGTTTTTGTGACTGTGTGGAACCCAGTTCAGCTACTGATGGATTGATTGATTGACTGCGGTACATTGTTCATCACTTTCATTTTATGGATCAATCGCCTTGTTAGTTAGTAAAATTCCTGTTCAATGGCTGTTTTAGGGGTTGTTTTTAAAAGCCTGGGACAGATTAATCCGTTTTGCATTGCTTTCTATGGGAAAGCAGTGCGCCTTGGTTTTGGAACGCTCTGGTTTTGGAACGGACTTCCGGAACGGATTAAGTTTGAGAACCAAGGTACCACTGTACTGACTTTTCGAAACACGCTTAGGGAGGAGGCAGGGGGCTAAATCTGGCTGTGTCACGCTGCCTTCTACTCAAGAGCAGAGCCGCGGTCCCGATTCTGCCCTGCGCTTTCATGGCAACGGCCCTATTGGGAGCAGGGACAACCCACTGTATAATCTTATTTTCCAGATTATCCCCCTGCACCCGAGGACAGAACCGTGGGATTGAGGCAGAGTTCAAAAAGGACCACGAGGGTTATCGAATCAAAACCCCCCACGATGCGGGGATTTCGTGTTTCGAATCCACAACCCTGAGATCAAGAGTTTCGCGCCCATCTTTGCGGCTGGCAGTGGCGAGACCCTCCTGCCATGCGCCCCTGAGAGGCCCCTTTCTCACTAATAATAATAATAATAATAAAATACCCCACCCATCTGGGCTGGGTTTCCCCAGCCTCTTGATCCTGTTAGCAGCACTAAGTCTCCGAAAGCGAAGCGTCGGAGATTCCTGTTCCGTCTACTGGCTGTCGACCGGAATAAGAGAGAGATCGGCCGGTCCCTGTTTCTTGCCCCCCTCGTTTCCGCCGGAGGGTCCAGCCCTCCCGGTTTGTGTTTTTAGCTGCCCCATGGCGCTCGTAGAGGGGGGGAAACCCCCAGAGCAAAACGAAAAGCTACCCACAATACGCCGCGGTGTCGCCCAACAGATTCCCACCCCTCGACTTGAAGAAGTCCGCATTGGCCCCCTTTTCCGTCCGTGCCGTGCCGTTGAAACGTGGGGAGAACGGGGACCTAATAATAATAATAATAATAATAATAATAATAGCGCAAACAGTTGCAGGTTGCAGCACGTGCAAAGGCGTGCTTCCGCGGGGACGCCGCAAATCAAAACGGGAGAGGTTGACGCACAACGCAGCTTCTAGGTTCACATTCATTTCGCAAAAATAACGAGAAAAAGAGCTGCTTCCTTTTCTGAGCATCCGTCAAGGTGCGATTACATTCAAGAGCAACCGCGGGTGTAAAAGGGAAACGCGGTTCCGGAAAGGTCTTGCGGCCGGCCGCTGGGTTTTAAAAACACATTTTCCGGGCGAGGGGTGAGCGTGTGTCCTTTTTTAGAAATTAAAAAAGGAGATGTTGTGATCCGTAACGCCCCACCTCCCCGTCTCTCGGCTCCGCCGTCCTCCAAAGTTTTTTAAGTTTTCTCCCTGCGGATTTTGGGCGTCTTAGCTGTCTCGGCCGTCGCTGTAGTGCAGCTCAGAGTTGAAGACTTCTTTGTAGAGGGGAGGAAAGTTCGTGGCGATCTCTGGGTGGACGAGGCGGAAAAACTCCAGCTTGTCCAAGTGCAAGTTGCAAATGGTCTTCATCAACGGGAGTTTGGAGATAATCTGTGATTGGGGGGGGGGGGAAGGAAGGGATCATAGAATCGATTTTTTATTTCCAAAACTGACAAAAGAAAAACTACAAACGTCAAATTCAACATCCATATTCATTTTCTAACTTAAACCTGTTACATAATGAACTAAATTGAAATTCACCTAGTTACTCTAAACTTCTCTTTGCTGTATACAAATACAACACAGTTAGAAAAATTTATATTAAAGTTTTTATATTATAAATAATATTTCAAATTCCCCTATACTCCCCATTTTATTCTATTTTTACTTCTTCCGTCTTGTTGTGAACAATTTAACCATTGTTCAGCTGATTCTTTTATTATTTCCTTGCTTACCCCTGAACGTTTTACACGTTATCTATTAATATTCCAGTTCCGGAACCATATTTATGAATATATGAATATAAGTATCGGATTTTTTGCTTTTCAGAACATGGCAACCCTAATAATAATAATAATAATAATAATAATAATAATAATAATATACTGCCCTTCATCAAAAGATTTCAAGGTAGCTTGCAAGATAAAGCCTTAACTTTTGCTGATGAATTCAAATTGAAAAAATATAAGGATGTTAATGGACTAAGTTAAGTTTATAAGAATTAAGATTTAGAAAGCCGTTATAAGGATATGCATGGAAATTCTACCAAGGGGAAGCGAGAAAGTCACTTAACAATGTTAATAAGTGTAATTTTAATAAGGTTATGTTTTTGTTTGTTTGTAGGTGTGTTTTGTTTGTGCATAATTTTGTGAAACCTAATAAAAAAAATCGGAAAATAACTTTTGCTAATGAATCTAGTTTGCCTTGTCTCTGTTGGAATATTGGGGCAGTTTTTCACTTTCTCCCCTCCCCAAATTTACCTTTGAGAGTCTGTCTTCGTTGCCATTCTTCTTCTGGATTTCGTGCTGCAAAGCCAAGTAGATTTTATCCTGCAGCTTCTGTACCTTCTTGGACTCCGAAAGCCAGGGGCGGTCTGGGGAACAAAACGTCAGATTGCTTGGGTCGCCGCAAAACTTGGCCAAGAAAACTGGGCTTGAAAGGAAGAACTTCTAAGAGCCGTTCGCCCGTGGGATGGAGGTTTTTAAGCAGAGGCTGGAGGAACATCATAGCTGTCAATATCCCGCCCCCCCTTTTTAAGGGAAATTCCCTTATTCCGAAGGGACGCGGGTGGCGCTGTGGGTTAAACCACTGAGCCTAGGACTTGCCGATTGGAAGGTCGGCGCTTCGAATCCCCGCAATGACGGGGTGAGCTCCCATTGCTCAGTCCCTGCTCCTGCCAACCTAGCAGTTCGAAAGCACGTCAAAGTGCAAGTAGATAAATAGGTACCACTCCGGCGGGAAGGTAAACGGCGTTTCCGTGCGCTGCTCTGGTTCGCCAGAAGCGGCTTAGTCCTGCTGGCCACATGACCCGGAAGCTGTACGCCGGCTCCCTCGGCCAGTAAAGCAAGATGAGCGCCGCAACCCCAGAGTCGGCCACAACTGGACCTAACGGTCAGGGGTCCCTTTACCTTTACCCTTATTCCAAATAGGATTCCTCGCAAGAAAAGGGAAAAGTTGACGGCTATGAAGGTCATCTGTCTGGGGTCTCTCTCAACTCTACCATTCAATAATAATAATAATAATTGTTTATTTATATCCCGCCCATCTGGCTGGGTTTCCCCAGCCACTCTGGGTGGCTCCCAACAGAATATTAAAAACACGATAAAACGTCAAACATTAAAAGCATCCCTAAACAGGGCTGCCTTCAGATGTCTTCTGAAAGTCAGAAAGTTGTCCATTTCCTTGACATCTGGCGGGAGGGCGCCACCACCGAGAAGGCCCTCTGCCTGGTTCCCTGTAGCCTCAGTTCTTTCAGGGAGGGAACTGCCAGAAGGCCCCTGGGAGACGGACCCCGGTGTCCGGGCTGGACGATGGGGGTGGAGACGCTCCTTCAGGTCTACTGGGCTGTTTAGGGCTTTACAGGTCATCACCAACCCTTTGAATTGTGCTTGGAAACATCCTGGGAGCCAATGCAGGTCTTTCAGGACCGGTGTTATACGGTCTCTACTCCCAGTCCCCAGTCTAGCTGCCGCATTCTGGATTAGTTGCAGTTTCCGGGTCACCTTCAAAGGGAGCCCCACATAGAGCGCATGGCGGTAGTCCAAGCAGGAGATAACCAGAGCACGCACTCTGCAAGATCAGGCAAAAGGGCCACCTTCCGCGCCAAACCTTAAAAACATCTGCATCCCCATAATCCTAAAATCTGCAACGTTCAGTAGGTAGAAACCATGCAACGGAAGCGTTTCCAAAAGGTTAACCACAAGCACCCACGCCCTTGTGATGAACTCTCAATAGACAAGTTTTCCGCAGGCATTGAAATAATAATAATAATAATAATAATAATAATAATAATAATAGTAATATGGCCGTACCTTGGAAGCCGAACACCTTGCGAGTCGAAACATTTTAACTCCCGGACGCCGCAAACCCGGAAGCGAGTCTTCCGGTTTGCGGACGTCCTTTGGAACCCGACGTCCAACGCGGCTTCCGATTGGAGCTTCCTGCGGCCAATTGGAAGCCGCGCCTTGGTTTCTGAACTTTTTTGGAAGTCGGGCGGACTTCCAAAACGGATTCCGAGGTACGACTGCAATAATATTAGGTGGCCGTCTGCCGGCTGACGGCCAAGGGCTAACACTGCTGGGTCAAAGCGATCGGTCCAAATCGCCCAAATCCGTCCCTTCTCGCCCTCTGTTCGCCGCGGGCGAGTTGCTCACCTGGAGAGAGAAGGACGGCGGCCGAGAAGAGCGCTGTCTCCTCGTCGGAGAGTTGGAGCCGGCAAAGATTTCTCCCCAGCTCAAAGATGGCGTTGATGAGGTCGTCGCAACCTGCGGCGAGAGAAAAAGCAGAGGGGTTTGGTCACCGGGAAAATCAGGAGTCGCCGTCTACATGTCTCGATGGGCTTGTCTAAACGGAGGCAGATTTATGGACTATGCAAAATTGGATAAATTAACAGGAAGGGTCCGAAACCTGCGGGATCAGAGAGGGTATGTTGTATGACTGTTGGAACTGATATGTTAAAAAATCAATTAAAATGTATATATATACATATAAAAAGGAGGCAGATTTATGGACTATGCAGAATTAGATAAATTAACAGGAAGGATTCGAAACCTGCGGGATCAGAGATTTTTAGAGGACCAGAGTAAATATATGAACTATTTGGAAAGTAATTGTGATGGGCAGATGGCGCTAGTAGGTCTGCAAGAAGTTTTGTGAGGTGAATTATCTGAAATATTACAAGAAAGACTATGAAAAGAATGATTAGTGAAGGGCAATTAAATGCAACATAGAAATTAAAAAATGCAGAATAAAGAAGAGAAAATCACCAGAGGTGTTGACGGAAGTCTAAAATATTGTATAAGATGAGAGGGTATGTTGTACAACTGTTGGAACTGATATGTTAAAAAATCAATAAAAATGTGTGTGTGTGTGTGTGTGTGTATATATATATATATATATATATAAAAAATAAACGGAGGCAGATTTCTTCCCCCTGTTTCTTACCTAGAGATTTGAACATTTGCACCCCGGCGTATTTCCCTGCAAACAGCACCGTGTTGTTCAGCGGGTTGAAGGCCCGTATCATTCGGATGAGGAGGACCTCAAGGCAGCCTGACGCAAAGAGGAAACGGCAGCGGAGGAAGAGGCGAGGAGGAGGGAGGAGGAAAGGTTGGCGGGCGGAAAGGAATCCAGACCATGAATCACGGGAATTGAACCCCCATGGGAAGGAAGAGGAGGAAGAAATCAAAACGAGGCAGATTTTGTTTGGGAAGAAAGAAATGGGTGGAAGGAAAGAAGGAAGGAAGGAATAAAAAGAAGTTTAGACTCTAAGAATGTTCATTTATCTAATTGATTTAGAGGCTACAAAAAAGAACTCCCCAAGCGGTCCACATTAAAACTCTAAAGATCAAATCGTTAAAAAAATTAATTCCTGCTGATTCATTTTGTCTTTGTTTATAACCCAACTATCCTCCCAGGAATTCATCAAGGTAAATAGTTACTTATGTACACATACCCTCTTTTTCCCGTGAAAATAGGGACGTCCTATTCCATCCCCTCCAACGTTTCTCGCCTGAAAATAGGAACGTCCTATTTCATCCCCTCCAACGTTTCTCCCCTGAAAATAGGAACGTCCTATTCCATCCCCTCCAACGTTTCTCCCCTGAAAATAGGGACGTCCTATTCCTTCCCCTCCAACGTTTCTCCCCTGAAAATAGGAACGTCCTATTCCATCCCCTCCAACGTTTCTCGCCTGAAAATAGGAACGTCCTATTCCATCCCCTCCAACGTTTCTCCCCTGAAAATAGGGACGTCCTATTCCATCCCCTCCCACATTTCTCAAAGCTATGTTATGTTTTGCAATAAGCGGGTGCGTTGTTGAGACTCGCCAGTCCGGCTGCCGGCCCTCACCTGCTTTGAGGAGGATGATCTGGTCGTTTTGACAAAGATCCATGAAGCCGTCGACGCGTTTGGCGAATTCCACGACGTATTGGATGGCGTTGGAGATTTGTACCGTGCACTCGTGCCACATGGCTTCACAGCTCTGCACGGGACATGGAAGGGAAGGGCAGGGGAAGAAGAGGGTCAAACTTTGCTTCCTGAGGCCCCAACAAGTCTCTTCGGCGCCTCCAGCGCATGAGATTTACAATGGAGCCTCCTTGTGCAAGAGCAGTCTACTTCTGCTGGGGACAAACGATGGAGAAGGTGGCTTTCTCCACCTTCTCCTGCCTCCTGGGTGCGTTGGTCGTGCCAAATCGACACAAAAGCTACGCTTTATTACACTAATTATTATTATTATTCAACTATCTGATGTTTAGAAGGCAGCCCTGTTTAGAGAAGTTTTTATTGACTGATGTATTTTTAATCCTTTCTTCGAAGCCGCCCAGAGTGGCTGGGGAAACCCAGCCAGATGGGCAGGGTATAAATAATAATAATAATAATAACAACAACAACTTTTTTATTTTTATTAAAGACTTTCTTGATTTACAGAAGTATTATTATTATTTATTTTAGGGCATCCGACAGCAAGGAGCCTCTAAACGTGAAAAGAGATTCATCTCTACAGATGATTTCAATCAGTTTTAGTTCTTTAACTTTTGTCTTTTTCAAAGCGTGGCTGCGTGTTGTTCTTTTTTAATTGATTTTACCGTTTGTAAACCGCTTTGAAGGTTCTTCCTCTCTCTCTCTCTTTTGCAATCGAGCAGTGTATATGTTTTATGAACCAATATAGCGAAATAAGTTTTCTGCCCTCTCCGCCCCAAAAGGATTTGGAAAAAGGCACTGCCGCTCCAAATTGACAAAAATACGCCAAACGGACGCAGATCAAGATTTCTAATTTAGTTACGCTTTCTCTGGGCTATTGTTGGATGGCAATTGAAAGTTTGTTATCATAAAAAATGACACGGTTTGTGGTCTAATGCTGAAAGGAACTTCTGGCGACGGAGGGAGGGCATGGTTGCGGCGTTTAGTCGCCTCTCAGCATCCTCGCCTTCGCCAGAGGCGAGCGGCCGGGACGTACCTTGTTCTGCATGTTCCGGATGTCTTCCTGAGAGTAGAGGATCCAGGCCACTCTTTTCAGCTCCTCGCTGGTGTACTGAGAAGTTTCCAGGTGGGATTTGACCACGTTCTGAGCCAGCCGTTCTGCGGAGGAAATGCACACACAACAGCCGTCAAGATTTCTCCCCCTACGACTTTGCCAAACCGACCTTCCGAGTCACGTGCAAAACATCACAACTTTCCACGAAGCAAGGTCATTTTCTCTTTCAAACTGGGCGGCTGCAGAGTCGGTGGTTTGGCTATATATACCGCTAAGCCAAGAAGGCTGATGGCTGAAGAATGGATGCTTTTGAATTCTGGTGCTGGAGGAGACTCTTGAGAGTCCCATGGACTGTAAGAAGATCAAACCTCTCCATTCGGAAGGAAATCAGCCCTGAGTGCTCACTGGAAGGACAGATCCTGAAGCTGAGGCTCCAAAACATTGGCACCTCATGAGAAGAGAAGACTCCCTGGAAAAGACCCTGGTGTTGGGAAAGATGGAGGGCCCAAGGAAAATGGGACGACAGGGGGAGAGATGGTGGGACAGTGTTCTCGAAGCTACCAGCATGAGTTTGACCAAACTGCGGGAGGCAGTGGAAGACAGGAGGGCCTATCGTGCTCTGGTCCAGGGGGTCACGAAGAGGCGGACACCACTAAACGACTCAACAACAACAACAACACCGCTAAGCCATAAGGGACGTGGGTGGCGCTGTGGGTTAAACCACAGAGCCTAGGACTTGCTGATCAGAGGGTCGGCAGTTCGAATCCCTGCAATGACGGGGTGAGCTCCCGTTGCTTGGTCCTTGCTCCTGCCAACCTAGCAGTTCAAAAGCACGTCAAAGTGCAAGTAGATAAATAGGTACCGCTCCGGCGGGAAGGTGAACGGCGTTTCTGTGCTCTGGTTCGCCAGAAGCGGCTTAGTCCTGCTGGCCACATGACCCGGAAGCTGTACGCCGGCTCCCTTGGCCAGTAAAGCGAGATGAGCGCCACAACCCCAGAGTCCACCACAACTGGACCTAATGGTCAGGGGTCCCTTTACCTTTACCGCTAAGCCATATATAAGAAGAAGCATGTCAAATGGTCAAAGCAAATCTCGGAGCGCAAAGGTAACCTGTGTGTTGGGAATGGGGCGAATCTGCTTAAAAGTCCATCCTGCGTACTAACCGATCTCTATCCTGGAGACGTCTGAGGCCAAATGTCCGCCCTCGATTGAGCCGTGCGGGAAAAGTCCGGGCTCCAACATCAGCTCGTAGATGGACTCTTGCTTGATGAGCTTGGCGTCGCTGACGTCGATGCTGGACTGGTCCGGAGACGGCTGGGCGGAGGTCAGGAGGTCAAGGTTGTAGTAGCCGCCGCTGCCCTCTGGGGTCAGCGGGAAGTCGAAGAGGAAGCCGTCCGAAAGCATGGAGATGTCGTCCAGGTCAGACAGCCCGCTGCTGACGCTCGTGGTGTAAACCCTGGACATCGTCTCCGTCTCGTCCTTGGAGCCGCCGCCCTGCTCTTGGTTCTGCTGGTGTTTCTGGACCTCAGCGTAGAGGGAGTCCCGCTGCTTCTTGGACATGCGGCCAAACTTGACCGCTGCGAGACCAACGGGTGGGGGGAAGAGAGAGAGAAGGAGGAGGAGAAGGAGAAATAGAAGAAGGTGAAGGAGAAGAAGAAGTAGAGGTCAGAAGTAGAGGTCAGAAGAAGAAGAAGAAGGACAGGTCAGAAGAAGAAGAAGTAGAGGTCAGAAGGAGGAGGAGGACAGGTCAGAAGAAGAAGAAGTAGAGGTCAGAAGAAGAGGGAAGAAGAAGAAGAAGAGGAGGAGGAGGAGGAGGAAGACGAAGAAGAAGGAGAAGAAGAAGAAGAAAGAAAAGGAGAAGAAGGTGAAGGTGAAGGTGAAGAAGGAGAAGGAGAAGGAGAAGGAGAAGAAGAAGAAGAAGAAGAAGAAGAAGAAGAAGAAGAAGAAGTCAGAAGAGGAGGTCAGGAGAAGAAGAAGGAGAAGAAGGAGAGGTCATAAGAAGGAGGAGGAGGAGAAGAAGAAGGAGAGGTCAGAGAGCTCTCTATGTCCTTTAACATTTTCGATTTTTCTTTATTTCCCCCTTTTCTTTCCCTTTCTCCCCCCCCCCCCCCGTTTCTTGGGTTGGCGACTCACCATCGCGAGACATGCCCAGGGCCAAACATTTCTGCAGCCGGCAATGTTGGCACCGGTTCCGGTTCGTCCGGTCGATGAGGCAGTTCCTCTGCCGCGAGCAGGAATACGTGGCATTATTCTGTTGGCTCCTGCGGAAAAACCCCTTTGGGAGAGAAAACGAGGGTGGAAATGAGGAAAACCGGCCGATATGGAGGAAGCTGCAGAGATTAGGGGAAACGAGGAGCAGAACATCCAAATTCTCTTTGCATTTAAGAGGAGGACTTCCACCATCCAAAACTCCGAAAAACCACACCAAACTAGCCTTTGAAATCTGCACCTCTCTGGGTTTTCCCGACGCATGTTCTCCAACCCAAACAGGTACAACGCCTGAAAGACGTACAGTGGTACCTCGGGTTACATACGCTTCAGGTTACAGACTCCACTAACCCAGAAATAGTGCTTCAGGTGAAGAACTTTGCTTCAGGATGAGAACAGAAATCGTGCTCTGGCGGTGCGGTGGCAGCAGGAGGCCCCATTAGCTAAAGTGGTGCTTCAGGTTAAGAACAGTTTCAGGTTAAGAACGGACCTCCGGAACGAATTAAGTTCTTAACCCGAGGTACCACTGTATTAGTAAAAAGCATGCATAGATTGAAAATAAAGGAATGCACAACATCTCGGGGGAAATAACTTGCATGTACAGTGGCACCTTGGTTCTCAAACGACTTAGTTCCCAAACGCCAAAAAACCAGAAGTGTTCCGGTTTTCGAACGTTTTTCGGAAGCCGAACGTCCAATGCAGCTGTAGGCTATTGTTTCCGGGGCACCTGTGCCAATCAGAAGTTGCGCCTCGGTTTCCGAACATTTCAGAAGTCCAACCGACTTCCAGAACGGATTAAGTTTGGTGCTTTTGTTTTCGCTCTTTATTTGGCGCTTTTGTTTTTGAGGCTTTTTCGGTTCATTTGTTTTTGTGACTGTGCGGAACCCAGTTCAGCTACTGATGGATTGATTGATTATTGATTGATCGTGTGACAGTGGAAATGGAATAAAACCCACCATCCAAACAATGACTATCATCAGTGCAGGTAAGAATTTTTTTTTTTTTTATCATCTACAGTACTGCCTTATTTATTTTATAGTACACTACATTGATTATCGCTTTTATTTTATGGATCAATGGTCTGGTTAGAGAGTAAAGTTCATGTTCAATGGCTGTTTTAGGGGTTGTTTTTAAACGTCTGGAACGGATTAATCCGTTTTGCATTGCTTTCTATGGGAAAGCGCGCCTCGGTTTCGGAACGCTTTGGTTTTGGAACGGAATTTCCAGAACGGATTAAGTTTGAGAACCAAGGCACCGCTGTATTAGTAAAAAGGATGCATAGATTGAAAATAACGGAATCCACGACGTCTCGGGGGAAACAACTTGCATGTACAGCTGCAGTCGAAATTATTCGACTCCCCATTGCAAATCAGGGTGATTATCCAAATTTACAGCCTGTTTGCGAGGAGCCAACCCAAGCTGCGTTTTCAGCCGGATTTGGGAGAATTGCTCAAAGTTTCTGTTGCGTCAAGCAATTTCCGCGGCTTTTGTTAAATTTGCTCCTTGCAACCAGCTGAAAAGTCTGTACATTTGGAAAGTCGACTTGATTCGCAATGGGCGTTGAATAATTTCAACGGCGACTGCATGTGTAATTCGGGAGCAACATGTGCTCAGGCGATGGCAAACTTTTGCAAGGACTTTTAAAAAAAATTATTGCACGCTTCTTTTCCTCTTCCCTCCTCCCAGCTTTTTCCTTTTGTGCCGTGCCTTTTGCATCGCAAATTTAATTTAAATATCGTGAAAGCCTGCTCTGGGTTGTTGCTGATTTTGTTGTTGTTAAGAACAGAGAGAAAAATGTTGCTATAAATAAGCAAACACTTTGAGGGGTGCAAATTTCGTGCGGGGGACGGCCTGATTTGGCAGCTGCCATCTTCCTCCTCGAAATCCCTCTTTCTCTCTCTCGCACGCAAAACTCACTTTGCACCCTTCGCAGGTGATCACGCCGTAGTGGATTCCCGACGACTTGTCGCCGCATATTTTACAAGGAATGACCTCGATTTGCGCTGGGGAAAGAAGAAAGAGACAGAGAAAAACCACGTTAATTTTCCACCTTGGCAACAACAACAATGACAACAAATGCATTTTTGAAAAGGTGCAGTGTAGGCGAGCGCAACTTTTATTTAGAAAAGGCCCTTTGCAAAGGAGAGGTCTCTGCTCCAACCTGCTTGCATTCGCATGTTTCGACGGGAATCACCAGGGAGCAGTCTCGTATTTTGAGTTACGCCGTTTCACAGAACCATAAAGTTGTCGGTTTGGAAAGGGCCCTGAAGGGATTTCAAAAAGTGAAAACCCAGTCACAAAAGTTGTTGAGATTTTAAAAACCCCCAAAAAGTTTTTAAGCTAAGATAGCTAAGATAGATAGATGATAGCTAGATAGATAGATAGATAGATAGATAGATGAATAGATAGATAGATGGATAGATAATGGATAGATAGTCTGATAGATAGATAGATAGATGGATGGATAAATAATAGATAGATAGATATAGATAGATGATAGAGAGATGATAGATGGATGGATGGATAGCTAAGATAGATAGATGATAGATAGATAGATAGATATAGATAGATAGATAGATAGATGAATAGACAGATAGATAGATGAATAGATAGATAGACAATGGATAGATAGACTGATAGATAGATAGATAGATAGATGAATAGATAGATAGATAATGGATAGATAGACTGATAGATAGATAGATAGATAGATAGATGGATAGATGGATAAATAATAGATAGATATAGATAGATAGATGATAGAGAGATGATAGATGGATGGATGGATAGCTAAGATAGATAGATGATAGATAGATAGATAGATAGATGAATAGATAGATGGATAATGGATAGATAGACTGATAGATAGATAGATAGATAGATAGATAATAGATAGATATAGATAGATGATAGATGGATGGATGGATAGCTAAGATAGATAGATGATAGATAGATAGATAGATAGATAGATAGATAGATAGATAGATAGATGAATAGACAGATAGATGAATAGATAGATAGATGAATAGATAGATAGATAGATAGATAATGGATAGATAGACTGATAGATAGATAGATAGATGGATGGATGGATGGATAGATGGCTAAATAATAGATAGATAGATATAGATAGATGATAGATGGATGGATAGCTAAGATAGATAGATGATAGATAGATAGATAGATAGATAGATAGATAGATAGATAGAATCAGCACTTTTTTCCTGGGGGTACGCATACCCCTAAACAGTTTGTGAACCTTTGTACTTTTGTCCATTTACTCTATTTATTTTTCCTGATTTGAACCATAAACTGGTGGTTTTCTTGAGTCAAAACGAGAGCAGCCCTAAACATTTTTAAAGGGAAAAAACACTGATAATATATAATTAAAAGGCACAACTACAATGGCCTGCTTTGTGTGTGTGTGGGGGGGCAGCTGGACATTACATGCAGCGGTTTTGGGGTGGGGTTTTTTTAGCAGGAACTCGGGGAAACTTGAATTCCCTAACTTTTAAAAAACCAAATTATTACTTTTCCTGGTCTGGGAGGGCTGTAATACACTTAATACTTGAGCTCCAAACCCACCTATATCTGCCACCCAAAAACCTGTGGCCATTTCTAACCAAATCTCCTTGATTTTATTAATCGCATATTACATTTAGCTACGGCTCGGGGTGACGCTAGGACAGGGCCCTAGAACAATTTCATGCGCAGCTCCCCCACCTATTTCCCTACCCCGGAAAAAATAAATAAAAAGCACTGATCGCCCAGGATTTTGGAAAGCAAGAGGGAGAATCGCCACGAATATTCAGATCAGACAGCAAGAAGAAGAAGAATTTAATAATAATAATAATAATAATAATTTATTTATAACCCCGTCCATCTGGCTGGCTTTCCCCAGCTGCTCTGGGCGGCTGCCAACAAAATATTAAAATACAGTAATTGATCAAATATTATACAATGCAATAATTCAACAGAAAACGCAGCCACGCCACTTCCCTCCCAGTAGAGGGCAGTGGGGGACTTTAAACAGATTACGCAGACTTCCATCTGCCAACGAGTAAACCATCCCATAATTGCGCTGGCTGTGTTGGCTGGGCGGATGTGATTCAAATCAAATCGATTCAAATCGCTAGTCAGGAAGACTTTTGATTCAAATCATTCTTTTTTTACAGAAAGACAATCTCATCTAAAGCATCATTGACAGAGAACCACGCAGCCTTTCTCCACCTGTAGGTCCCCAGATGTTGTTGGACTACAACTCCCATCACCCCTAGCTAGCAAGGTCAGAGCTCAGGGGTGATGGGAGCTGTAGTCCGACAACATCTGGGGACCCAAAGGTGGAGAACCGCTGAGCTAAGAGGATAGAGGGGAAGCTCTTCCATAGAGTCTTCATAAGCCAGGCTTCCTCAACCTCGGCCCTCCAGATGTTTTGAGACTACAACTCCCATCATCCCTGACCACTGGTCCTGCTAGCAAGGGATCATGGGAGTTGTAGGCCAAAAACATCTGGTTGAGGAAGCCTGCTGTAAGCTGAGCTTAAGACAGCTTTTCTCAACCTGTAGGTCCCCAGATGTTGTTGAACTACAACTCCCATCATCCCTAGCTAGCAAGGCCAGAGCTCAGGGATGATGGGAGTTGTAGTCTGACAACATCTGGGGACCCACAGGTTGAGAACCGCTGTGCTTGAAAACCTTCAAGGATCGGCCACCTGATATTTGGTCGGAATCTCCTCCCTTGTCCCTTGAAGAGGCGGGTTCGAGTCCTGCCCTACGGAGCAGGAGAAAACAGTGGGTCTCCTCTCAGTCTCCTCTTTTCCCAGGCTGAACATCCCCAGCTCCTTCAACCGTTCCTCATCCGGCTCGGTCTTCCCTCCCATACATCCAGAATTTCCCAGACATCACCAGTAAGCAGCGTCCGGGAGGGAATCACTAAAATATCCGGGCAAACGTATGGCTGCCCATGTCAGATTTGGGCAACTTTCATTAAAAACAGGCTCAAAAAAACCACAACCTCTTTCTCCTTTGTCGAGATTTCGCAAAAACAGCCAAAACTTTGTGTTTCCGGATTTTCCTTTTTTGAAATATGGCAACCCTAGACTATCTGGGCTGCCCTCTTGCCTGGTCCATCAAGCCTCTCTTACATCCACTCCCGCCATCCCATAATGGCTGCTGGGAGTTGGAGTCTCCTCTTTCATGTTTCAAAGGACCAGGATTTGCACCCAGAGCGACCGGTTAGGGTGTTGTAAATTGCAGACGGGAGAAAAGAAGTAGAAGCCTGAGGATTTCTTCTTTTTGATTTTGATTTGAGTTCCTACTGAAATGAGGCTGCATTTTAATGTTTTAACGTCATATTTTAATCTTGTTTTTAAGTTGTATGAATGAATGAATTTATTAATACGGTCACAGACCAGCGTCAACACACACAATATCACAGATCATAAAAAAAATATCAGAAATACAGAGGACAATATGAGTATAACAAGGATTTAAATATAAAAAATTAAAATTAATTATTAGCGTGCCCCTGTAATTAACATTTGGGAGTTTGGTCATTATGGGATACCACTTGCTTCCTGCGATTAATTGCAGACGCACAGAATTTGGCTACATTTAATGTAGTCTTGGGATTCTTGTCCTCTAGCAGTAGTTTTAAACTATGGTGTTCCGATTCTTTCCTGGACATTTGCAAAACAGGTGTAATAAAAGTCAAACGTATATCCTCATAAAGACGACAACGTAATAGTACATGTGAAGCAGTTTCAACTTCCAACGAGCCACAGGGGCAGACCCGTGCTGTGTATGGTTTACCCTCAAATCTGCCCTGAAGTAAGGCAGAAGGGAGAACGTTGAATCTGGCGAGGGTAAAAGACCGTCTGTATTTGGGTACCTGAAGACCTGACAGATAGTTAGCTGGAGAGAAACCTCTCCCATGGTCCCTTATTGCTGGATGTTTGTTAAGTTGTATTTCAATCAATTGTTTTTATACCTGGTGTCAGCTGCCCTGAGCCCAGTCTTGGCTGGGGAGGGCAGGGTATAAATAAAATTTTACTATTATTATTATTATTATTATTATTATTATTATTTTAGGCTGGGGGGAGTCCAGAGCTTTTGCTGTGGAGCTATGCTCCAGCACAACACAGGCGCTTCTGAGCGCGTGCAGAGTGCCTTTCCCACCCCACAAGAAACTGCACATCACACAAAAGTCCTTCTGAAAACCCCAGAGGAAATTCTTCCAGCCTCGACGCAGGAGAAATACTTTCCACTCGGGCGTAGCTTGTTGTCGAGCGCGAGAGTGAATCACTTCGAGAAGGAAGTGGTGAAATATATATATAAATATATTTAAATCACTGTCTCTTCCTTCTCTGCAAAGAAAGCTTCCTATTACGGGATCCTTCCAAGCCGGCCCTGCTGTTGCCTCGGCCACCGGGGACGTCGTTCTGCAAAACGCGTGCGCCCATTTCACAGGTGGCAAAACTGAGGCAGGAACTGAAAGCCCGCTGTATTGTATGTACATTGTTCTGTATAAGTTTTGGTACTGGTATTGCTTGTTTTGCTGTTTTCCATTTTATTTCTTTTTTCTCTGTTCTTTGCTGTTTTTACGTTCCGTTGCACTGATGTGCTACAAAATAAAATAAAATTTTAAGGAAAGAAAAGACACACACAACCGATCGGTTTCCCAACACAGCCCCAAAGCGTCTGTTGTTTTTGTTGTTACCAAAGGCCTGAAACTTCCCCAAGGTTATATAACTGCCATCTGCTAAACATATCCCAGACATGTGGCCAGGATCCGAGGAGGGAAGGCGGGGCTGCCCAAACCAGGCTCAACCATTGGCTCCTGGCCCCCGGATCGTTGACTCACGGCCCGTGGCCATTGGCCGCTGAACCCATCCGTCAAGCCCGCGCCAAAGCACGCACGAAGTCACCCTGTCCTACTGACATACTTTCCTCTGCAAAAAAATAAAATTGAAGAAAGCAGTTGTGTAACAGGCATGCATCAGTCAGCTGTCTTTATGACTCCTCCCGAAACAGTGGGGAGAGGAGGAGCGGCTTGCAAATCTTCTTTTTTTGTTCAAAATTAAAACAAAATGTATTATCCAGAAACATATCATCCTTATTCCCCCCCCCCATTTTTCCTCCCTCCCCGCCCAGTAGTGATGTATGGAAGCGAGAGCTGGACCATAAAGAAGGCTGATCGCGGAAGAATGGATGCTTTTGAATTCTGGTGCTGGAGGAGACTCTTGAGAGTCCCATGGACTGCAAGAAGATCAAACCTCTCCATTCCTAAGGAAATCAGCCCTGAGTGCTCACTGGAAGGACAGATCCTGAAGCTGAGGCTCCAAGACTTGGCCACCTCATGAGAAGAGAAGAATCCTGGAAAAGACCCTGATGTTGGGAAAGATGGAGGGCACAAGGAGAAGGGGACGACGGAGGACGAGATGGTGGGACAGTGTTCTCGAAGCTACAAACATGAGTCTGACCAAACTGCGGGAGGCAGTGGAAGACAGGAGTGCCTGGCGTGCTCTGGTCCAGGGGGTCACCAAGAGGTGGACACGACTAAACGACTAAACAACAACAACCCCACACATATGTACAATCCCACCACATATGATAAAATGTCCCCTCCTTTTCTTTACACTTCCAACATATATTTGAACTAGTTTTGTACATTTCCCGTAACTGCATTAGTGTACCATCTTGCAAATCTTAACATTTCAGCGTGTGGAAAAGCATCCCGGAGAGGTCAAAACGCTGCTCCAAGCTTCGGAGAAATTAAGAATATTATTCTTAAAAAGATGCACGGGAAACGAGGAGGGTTAAGGAAAGGTAAAACAGAGCTTCCTTCTCAAGCCGCAGTCTACCTCGGGGAAGAAGGAACAAAAAGGGCAGCACAAAGCAGGGTGGGATTCTTGCCAAGATGCACAGACGCTGTTGGGGGTGGCACCTAACTGGGTCCTATTACTCGGGAGTAGGCCTGATTTAGCCGTGTCCATTCATTGCAATTTCTGCCCAGAGCGTCCACATCCAGGAACAGTCTACCCCACCAAGAGCAGCTCAATGGTGGGGTGCCAAGGAGAATTCGGAAGCGATTCTCTTCCTAGGTCAGGCATAGGCAAACTCGACCCTCCAGATGTTTTGGGACTACAACTCCCATCATCGCTAGCTAACAGGACCAGCGGTCAGGGATGATGGGAGTTGTAGTCCCAAAAGAGCTGGAGGGCTGAGTTTGCCTCTGCCTGTCCGGGGGCAACAGTGACCGTAAAAAAGCAGTGGATCTTGGAGATTTGTGGGTTAATAATAATAATAATAATAATAATAATAAGAAGTGATGCAGTATTCTGCCTCCATTGGCGCCCATTCATGACCTTACACACATGAATCAAGAGATATCTGGTTCCCCCCACTATCCAGAAATTTAAATTTCCAAGAAGGAGGTGGAGGAGGAATCATAAAATGGGATAGTCGGAAGGGACCCTGGCAGTCATCTAGTCCAACCCGCTGCAATGCAGGAAACTCAACTAAAGCATTCATTCCTTCATCCCTGGCGAGCTGCGATTCATCCCTTGAAGGACACATTCACGTAAAAACACGCTGATTCCCGGACCGTCCGCCGGCTGGATTGAGACTGGGCCGGATCCGGCCCCCGGGCCTTAGTTTCCCTACCCATGCTATAAGCCAAGTCCTGTGTTCGAATTATGGCTACTCATGGCCAAGAGGCTGGCGTCTCGTAATATATCCACCCTCTTTTGTTTACAGCCGTGGCTAAGGATCGGGTCAGATTTTGTTTTCTGCTGGCGGGTGGGGAGGAGAGAGGAGGATGAGGCAAAGTGAGAGCAGGGAGGATGAGTTGGCGGGTGAGTTGCCTGGCACGCCCTTGACTGCGTGTGCCAACTCCGGAGGAATGCGGTTCGTCCGCCGCAGCCGGCTGAGGGCACTGCCTGCTGCCAACAAACCTTTTTGGGCGTGCGGGATTTACGTATAAGCTAAACAAGCCATAGCTTAGCTCCTCACTCTCTTGCCCCCCCAATTCACTATTAATATAGGTAAAGGAACCCCTGACCGTTAGGTCCAGTCGTGGCCGACTCTGGGGCTGCAGCGCTCGTCTCGCTTTATTGGCTGAGGGAGCTTCCGGGTCATGTGGCCAGCAGGACTAAGCCGCTTCTGGCAAACCAGAGCAGTGCACGGAAACGCCGTTTACCTTCCCACTGGAGTGGTACCTATTTATCTACTTGCACTTTGACATGCTTTCGAACTGCTAGGTTGGCAGGAGCAGGGACTGAGCAACGGGAGCTCACCCCGTCGCGGGGATTCGAACCGCCGACCTTCTGATTGGCAAGTCCTAGGCTCTGTGGTTGAGACCACAGCTAGAATAAAGGTAAAGGGACCCCTGACCATTAGGTCCAGTCATGGCCGACTCTGGGGTTGCAGCGCTCATCTCGCTTTACTGGCGTACAGCTTCCAGGTCATGTGGCCAGCAGGACTAAGCCGCTTCTGGCGAACCAGAGCAGTGCACGGAAACGCTGTTTACCTTTCCGCCGGAGCGGTACCTATTTATCTACTTGCACTGGTGTGCTTTCGAACTGCTAGGTGAGCAGGAGCAGGGACCAAGCAACGGGAGCTCACCCCGTCATTGCGGGGATTCAAACCGCCGACCTTCTGATCGGCAAGTCCTAGGCTCTGTGGTTTAACCCACAGCGCCACCCACTCCCTATTAATATACTTCTTCTTAATTGTATTTCAGTTCAACCTTTGCTTTGATAAAATACATCCAGTCACACCTCGGGTTACAGACGCTTCAGGTTGCGTTTTTTCAGGTTACGGATGCGCCGAAACTCGGAAGTACTGGAATGGGTTACTTTCGGGTTTTGGCAGTCTCGCATGCGCAGAAGCGCCGAATCACAACCCACCTATAATGAACAATGCAATATTTCAGTTCTTCTTTCCTTCCCGTTGACTTCCTTCAGGAAGGTTTGGGCTGGGGGTTCATCAGTATGCGGATGACACCCAGCTCTACCTCTCTTTTAAATCAGAACCAGTGAAGGCGGTGAAGGTCCTGTGTGAGTGCCTGGAGGCGGTTGGAGGATGGATGGCGGCTAATGGATTGAGGTTTCAATGGATTGAGGTTGAATCCTGACAAGACAGAAGGACTGTTTTTGGGGGACAGGAGGCGGGCAGGTGTGGAGGATTCCCTGGTCCTGAATGGGGTCACTGTGCCCCTGAAGGACCAGGTGCGCAGCCTGGGAGTCATTTTGGACTCACAGCTGTCCATGGAGGCGCAGGTCAAATCTGTATCCAGGGCAGCTGTTTACCAGCTCCATCTGGTACGTAGGCTGAGACCCTATCTGCCTGCGGACTGTCTCGCCAGAGTGGTGCATGCTCTGGTTATCTCCCGCTTGGACTACTGCAATGCGCTCTCCGTGGGGCTACCTTTGAAGGTGACCCAGAAACTACAACTAATCCAGAACGCGGCAGCTAGACGGGTGACTGGGAGCGGCCGCCGAGACCATATAACACCAGTCTTGAAAGACCTACATTGGCTCCCGGTACGTTTCTGAGCACAATTCAAAGTGTTGGTGCTCACCTTGAAAGCCCTAAACGGCCTCGGTCCAGTATATCTGAAGGAGCGTCTCCTCCCCCATCGTCCAGCCCAGACACCTGGGTCCATCTCCTGAGGGCCTTCTGGCGGTTCCCTCACTGCAAGAGGCCAAGTTACAGGGAACCAGGCAGAGGGCCTTCTCGGTAGTGGCGCCTGTCCGCCCTGTGGAACGCCCTCCCATCAGATGTCATAGCGATAAACAACTACCTGACATTCAGAAGACATCTGAAGGCAGCCCTGTTCAGGGAAGTTTTTAATATGTGACATTTTAGTGTATTCTTCATCTTTGTTGGAAACCGCCCAGAGTGGCTGGGGAAACCCAGCCAGATGGGCGGGGTACAAATAATAAATTATTATTATTATTATTATCAACCTTTTCATTTTTGGGCAAACTGTTTCCATCTTATTTCGCTTTTGAAATTTTCGTTTGGACTTAACCCCAATTTCATGTGCGAATGTGTCCCCTTCATGGGGAATTTTGCGGGTGCCCCAGGGAGCTGGCAACAGGGTGGATAAAAATCAATCATATTTTTAAAAATTTTAAATCGGAATTTTTTTTTATTTAAATTGGATTTTTAAAATAAAATCCTTTCGGAGGAAAAAATCTTTCTAAAGATTTTCTATTTAAGTTACATTATAGTCCAAAGGGTATTCATCAGTAAATAAGGGTTTGTTTTTGAGTTTTTCATGATTTAAATTGATTTGATTTGATTGAGGTTCGGTTGGCACCAACATTGCTAAGTTTTCAGTTTCCGTTGAGAACACAACCTCCTTTTCCCCTGAGACTCTGACACATAACCCCCAGAATGCAGTTTATTGTGTTTAAAACTGATTTTTAATATCTGGCAGCTTGCATTGCTGCAACATCCCCTCTGATCTACGGGCACAGCGAGGTTCCCATACCGGGGAAAAAATCAAATCAAATCAAATGCACACAGTGTTCTGTAGGCAACACTTTCAAAACTTAGGAAATTTATTTAAAAAAACACTCATTCCTGTGCGCAGGGGTCCTTTTGCGCCCCGTAAAGAGTGGAAGCACGTGACCGATTTTAACGCGCGATCGAAATAACGATACAAGTTTGAAAGGGGATAAAGGAACACTGACTCCCCCCCTCCCCTTTTTGCATAAAATAAATGATATTTAGCGGAATACACAAGGAAGGTTTCGAAAGGGAAAAAGTTAGCTTAGCTAAGTAAAACACGTCCCCAAACATTATCTGTATTTCAGTTGTATAAATAGCATGCGACATAATTCGTTGTTGTTGCTACTTTGTTTTTTATTTTGACAAAGTAATAATAATAAATAAGATAAAAATAAAGATAACGTTGGCTTTTGCCACACCGCCCAGGCAACCAAACAACCGGAAGCTGATTGCAAGTGGGAGAGGAAGAGAGAGAAAGAGAGAGATGTGTAGAACAGAAACTCATGCAGAGACACAGCAGGGCAACTCCTCTGGAGGTTTCAGCGCAGATCTCAGTGCCGGGCGCAACGGGACCCATTGATTGGTCCAGATGTGGGGCGGGGGGGGGAGACACAGCAGAAGGGGAATGAGGACAGGAAGATCTCATATGACCGGCCCCCCAGGAGTTACCCCCCTCTCGACTTCATTAAACTTCGGGAAGCATCGGGAACTCAGGGGAGAGACACAACGTCCTTTCCGTTTCCGCACGGGGCGCCGTGGTTAATTAACCGGCTGAAATCTCGGGGGCAAATGAGGTCGCCGGCCCACGATGCTTTGCAGAGGAAGCGGTCGATTCCGCGGAATGAGGGCAACACCAGGAAGCTCCAATTAGGATCCGGACCCCTGCTTACTCCCCCGAAGGGGGAAACCAGCGGGGATCCGGGAAGGCGAGAGTCAAGGGGCGGGCCAAGGAGGAGGGAGGAGGAGCGGCGTCCCAGCCGGGGCGGAAGAACGACTCAGAGCCCTGTTGGTTCCTGAGGATGACGGTGCTTCTCTGTAGCCACACCCACGCCACAGCAAAGCCTCACCCACAAGGGGCCATGCTCCCTTCCTGCGGGTACCACCAAAGCGGTGCTTGTGGGCCCAAGGTGAGCTAGATCAGGCAAAACAGATTCCTCCAAAGGAATCGCAGAATGCTAGGGTTGGCTGAGGTTAGGGGCGGAGAAGCAAGACGCACAGGCTGAGGTTCGAGACGAACCGGGGTTAGGGGAGAGATGTACCAGGGTTAAGAGAGAGACGAACCAGGGTTAGGGGAGAGATGAACCGGGGTTAAGAGAGAGTCGAACTGGGGTTAGGAGAGAGACGGACTGGGGTTAGAGGAGAGACAAACCAGGGTTAGGAGAGAGATGAACTGGGGTTAGGGGAGAGATGGACCGGGGTTAGAGGAGAGACAAATCGGGGTTAGGAGAGAGATGAACTGGGGTTAGGGGAGAGATGGACCGGGGTTAGAGGAGAGACAAATCGGGGTTAGGAGAGAGATGAACTGGGGTTAGGGGAGAGACGAACCGGGGTTAGGGGAGAGATGAACTGGGGTTAGGAGAGAGATGAACCGGGGTTGGGAGAGAGATGAACCGGGGTTGGGAGAGAGATGAACCGGGGTTAGGAGAGAGACGAACTGGGGTTAGGAGAGAGATGAACCAGGGTTGGGGGAGAGACGGACCAGGGTTAGGGGAGAGACGAACTGGGGCTAGGAGAGAGACAAACCGGGGTTTGGGGAGAGATGAACTGGGGTTAGGAGAGAGACAAACCGGGGTTAGGAGAGAGATGAACTGGGCTTAGGAGAGAGACGAACTGGGGTTAAGAAACAGACGAACCGGGGTTAGGGGAGAGACAAACCGGAGTTAAGAGAGAGGCGAACCGGGGTTAGGAGAGACAACCAGGGTTAGGAGAGACGAACCGGGGTTAGGAGTTTCAGCAGAAGGAGGATGTGGACGAGGAAATGGAAGGGAGGAGAAGACAGAACTCTCTGAAGCTGGGCACAAAGGCGTGGACTTAAGATCTGTTATATAAGGAGGAGGAAGCGGGGGAAAGGGGGTAGAGGCAGAGAAGGGCCGCTTTGAGAGATGGGAGGGACGTTGGGGGCCGTAATCCCACAGGATCACACCTGCGCCTGCTGCAGGAATAAACCGAATTACTGCACCTAGGAAATCCCACCCGCGTACAGAAATCCCGAAAGCCTCATTGCTTCTCTTGCCCCTTTTCTCTTCCTGAAAAGTGTGCCTTCGTTCAGACTGGGAATGACATGATTTAACTTTCCTTTTGAATCATGTTTCTAGCCCTCAAGCATTGCAAATGTCCTGTTTCTGCCAAACCAAACACGAAGGCTGCAAAGTCAAACTGCCTGAGAGCCTCCTTCTCTTCCCTACCTCCTCTTCTGGGGTGCGATGCAGCGCAACCCCATAGGGACTAGAAACTTGGTTTTGAAGATGAAAGCGGAGATTCCCAAAGCCGCGATGTGTCGGGTGGCAAAGCATCGAGTGTCCCCAACATATTGACATCGTATCACGGAATAAGATAAGAGCCTCATGGATCAGCCCAGAGGCTGTTAACAGCCTTCTCCTCCGCAGACCTCGGAGATAGCTCAGTCAGTAGAAAAATGAGATTCTCCATCTCAAGGTCGTGGGTCCGACCCCCTCGTTGGGCAAAAGATCCCTGCACTGCAGTGGGGTTGGACTAGATGACCCCTGGGTCCCTTCCCTTCACCCAGTTCTCTGCGAAAGCCGCCTAGTTTGGTGGCCTCAAGTAGCAGGGAGTTCCACAGCTCAAGGATGGACGAGTCCTTCCTTTTATCCGCCCGGAATTTTCCAGCACGGACATCCAAGATTTCTTGGGGTTATGAGACGAGGAGAAAAACCTTTCTCCGTGCCAGGCCTCATTTAATAAACTTCCCAATGGTGCAAGCTTTCCTCGTATCGCAGTTGCCCCATTCCCAGAGATTGTTTCGGCTGCCCTTGCGTAAGAATTTGCATGATTTGTGCAAGTTGCAGAATTCCCGGCTCCTGCGCAGGATCTGCAGAAAGCCTCGCCCGTTCGGATTTCCTTGCAAATCGTTTCTCTCGCTCTTCTTC